ACGTTACACGCACGCACACACGAACGCACGCACGCACGTGTACGTACACACGCACGCACGCATGTGTACGTACGCACTCACGCACGTGTACCTGCACACACACACACACGCACACGTGCACATGCACGCACGCACGCACCCACGTGTACGTGCACACGCACACACGCACGCACGCTACGTGTACGTACACACGCACGCACGCACGCACGGTGACGTGGTGCTGCTTTCATGAGTGTTGAACGCCAATCATACAAACGAAAATGAGGACACTATCACATCCCCCAGCACTCATGTAGACAGACGAGACGACTAGACGAGCCATATGGTTTAAATACAAGAGCGGCGTCTGTTCGGTTCCTAATCTTCCTATGGTATGTGTCGCACAGTGTGATTGGTTTATGCTAGGCACACCCCTCCACAGCCAGCTGCTACGACGACGTAGGGGATTTAACACTGCGATTCATCAACATTTGCGTACGTAGGACCTACGATGCGTTGATGAATCGCACCTACGGCTTTGGCGTACGTACTTCGTAGAACCTTTGCGTACGCAATCGACTTTACGCAACGTTGATGAATCCGGCTCCTGATTCGCACACTTCACGTGCTCATGCATTGCCGCCCCCCCCAAAATAAAATCCTGGCTACGCGCCTGTGTGTGTACTGGTGTGTGTGTGTGAGTGTGCGTGGGCGTGTGGGTGTGCGTGTGGCGTGTTTCCGTGTGCGTGTGCCGTGCGCGTCGGCGCGGTGCGCGTGTTGCGTACTGTGTGTGTGTGTGATACGTGTGTGTGTGTGTGTGTGTGTGGTGATGTGCGTTGTGGCGTGGTTTGTGCTGTGTGGTGTGTGTGTTGTGTGTGTGCACGCGCTGTGGTGCGTGTGTGTGTGTGTGTGCGTCGTGCGTGTGTGTGTGCATGTGTGCGTGTGTGTGTGTGTGTGTGTGCTGTGCTGTGTGTAGTGTGTGAGTGTGTGTCGTGTGTGTGTGTGGTTGTAAACGCGCGCTATACGGGTGGGTGCCTGTTGCCCGTGTGGTGTCAGATTCGTTGCATGCGTGTGGTTGGGTTTATGGGGTTATACATTATGTGGGTATGTTAATGTGGTTGTGTTTATGTGGTTGTGTTTATGTGGTTATGGTAATGTTGTTATTGTATGTATGAAATATGTTTATGTGGTTGTGTTTATGTGGCCAGTGTTTATGTGGCAGTGTTTATGTGTGTGTGTTATGTGGTTGTGGTTATCTGTGGCAGTGTTTTATGGGTTGTGGTTTATGTCGGTTGTGTTATGTGGCAGTGTTTATGTGGTTGTGTTTATGTGGTTGTGTTTATGTGGCAGTGTTTATGTGGTTGTGTTTATGTGGTTGTGTTTATGTGGCAGTGTTTATTGGTTGTGTTTACGGTGGCAGTGTTTATTTGTTAAGTGGTTGTGTTCTATAGCTGGCATTGTGTTATTTGCCAGTGTTGGTGTGTTTATGTGGTTGATCGTGTTTATGTGGCAGTGTTTATGTGGACGTGTTCTAATGTGGAGTGTTTATGTGTTGGTTTATGTGGCAGTGTCTACTGTGGTTGTGTTTATGTGGTCTTGTTTAATGTGGCCAGTGGTTTATGTGGTTGTGTTTTATGTGGCAGTGTTTATGTGGTTGTGTTTATGTGGTTGTGTTTATGTGGCAGTGTTTATGTGGTTGTGTTTATGTGGCAGTGTTTATGTGGTTGTGTTTATGTGGCAGTGTTTATGTGGCAGTGTTTATGTGGTTGTGTTGATGTTGTGTTGACTACGCGGTAGTGTTTTCGTGATTATATTTATATGTTATAGCATTATGTTATGACTTACAGCAGTGGCTCAACAGCGTCATCATCATCGTCATCGCTCGTTGGGTAGAGAAATACGCTCAAGCATCAAATAAAATCCATATTTAAATTTTTTATTTGAGTTTGAATTCGACTGTAGAATCCTTTCAGGCTACGATCTGTCACTGATACTGAGACTGGCTCAACGTCGTTTTACTCGTACTGTCTGTAGATACGGTGGCGTGTGCGTTCGTTACGGCGGAGTGACGTTGAACCAGTCTATGGTTTTAATCTCCGTGTGTGTATATCATCCAGTTTTTATTGCTAATGCTCACTATTATTTTTCCGGCATGCATGAATATTAATAAGTGAAAATGCAAATATTAAAAATCTCACGAAGGAAGGCCAATCATAACAAATAACCGAACAAAATCGTACACGGCTATCAACGCGCTTTCCTTTGATCTGCTATTAGTACAGATTTAATATTGATGACGCATACATACATAATATGGACTTCTCTTCACATTAAACTTCACTAGAAACTTATCGTTAAACTTATAGCAGGTTAGGGTGTTGTGGGGTGTTAGCGCAGGCAGGTTAGGGTGGTAGCGCAGGCAGGTTAGGGTGTTAGCGCAGGCAGGTTAGGGTGTTAGCGCAGGCAGGTTAGGGTGTTAGCGCAGGCAGGTTAGGGTGTTAGCGCAGGCAGGTTAGGGTGT